GCACTGTGAACCCACTGATTCTTTACAGCGGACAGCCGCTCCTCTCTTGCAGGTACTGCGTACCTCCTCTAAATCTTTTAGGGGTACGCAGTACCCTACCGTACCTCACTTCTGGTGATAATATTTATAGACAAGTAAGAAATTGTACAGAAAGGAATCACAACCCACTGTTCTGAACGTGTAGTGCTTAATTTGAAACTGCCGCAGTAATACCTCGTTCCCCCATCCCCTCTTTGAGCTGATCCAGAGCTCAAAGAGGGGATGGGGGAAGGAGGAGGGATGAAGGAGGGAGTGAAAAGTGGGGAAGGTTTGGGGGGAGAGATGAAGAGGAGGTGAGGAGGGGTGCAACAATTCAGCACACATGATTTTAATTGATGACTGATTGACAGGGTTTTGCTGAATTGAAAACATACAGGTCACCTTGCCTTGAGGACCAGTGTTGAAAAGCACTGGATTATTACATTGGCATTTCAATTTATAGAGTTCGACCAGAAAAAATGAATGGGAAATGTTGGGGTGAGAACAGAGAAAAGGGAGTAAAGAGGGGAAGGTCGGGTGTGCTGGGGAATAGGTGGGCAGGAGAAGGGGTAGTTGGGGAGGAGTGGGGTAGGACAGCAAAACTTTGATTCAAAATTGATAAGCAGTTTTTCCCAACCCTGGCTCTTAAGTCAAACTGACCGGCATGTTTTCAGTTCAGCAAAACCCTGTTAATCAGCCATCAATTAAAATCATGTGTCCCTAATTATGGAAATGCCTAAAACTTGCAAGGCAGTGTGCCCTGAGGACCAGTGTTGGGAAAAACACTGGATTCGATGTTGGTGTTTCAATTATTAAAATTCGACCAGAAAACAACATTGATTCAATGACATCTTTTCAACATTAGTTAATTGGCTAGAATTGGATGACTGTTTGAAGGTTTATCCACCATCAATCATCGATCTTAACCATAAATTCAGCTTTTGTGATGATAATTCAACATTGAATTAACATCTTTTGCAAACAAGCCAACAGCGAAGTGGCTGTGTGGTTAGGCCATCCCACTCATGTAAATATGGGGGTGGGCCGCTCCACTCCTTTTAGTATGTTGTAGATATTTTTGTGTCAATTTATCACACACAAATGGTCAGTAAGAATTTTTATAGACAAATAACAAAATGTACAGAAAGGAATCACAACCCACTATCCTCAACAGTGCTTATTTTAAAACGTGATTAGCACCGCTCAATAATAAAATGCCCTCACCCAGAGCTCTGCTGAGGAGGAGAGGAGAAGAGGTGTGGCAAAACAGCTGACATTGATTCAGCATTGATCAGACATCAGCATTTCATTCATTAGATTTCAACCACAACATTGAATCAATGACACAGTTTCAACATTGGTTACTTGGCTAGAATTGGATGGTTGTTTGATGGTTGATCCACTGTCATTCGTCAACCTCAAACTGAAATCAACCTTTCTGACTATAATTCAATGTTGAATTACCTTCATGTGGTATCTGGATCCAGAGATTGGAAACATTATATTTTTAGATTTCTGCAATGTATGAGCTAATGTTTATGCAAATTTGAGCATAATTACTCAACATTTTATGTGTCACTGTTTACATCCATATTGTTTATTTTGTATTAATAAACATGGTTATTTTATTTGAAAAGTTACATAAAAAAAAAACAATGCCACCCCGAGCACCATCCCCTGCTAATTACTGTAGAGCTGGGCTGAGTTGTTTGAAATTGCTTTAGATATATTTGATAATTCGCATGACTGCATTTTTATTTTAAGTATTTATTTTAGAGGTATTTACCCTAACCAGCATGCATTGCCTCCAGGGCATGATTAATTGGATAAGGTGACGTCAGCTCAGTTGAACACACCCGTGTGAGATCAGGCGCCATGCCTTCTCCTATTCCCGTCACGCGCCTGTTACGGAAAGACATCTACCCGTCTGCAGACATCGCGACTTGTAGCAGCCCGCTCTTTCAGCTGTCCCAAGGGTCCACCTTGCAGGTCCCTCCCCAGCGGTTACATGGTAAAGTCGCAAGCCGCCTCTGGTCCTCCGTGATTTACTGGGATCAGCTGCGCTCCGTGGAAGTTGTGGGCTCCGGGGGTTTCGGTTCCGTGTATAAGGCGGAGTACCTCGGGGAAACTGTTGCGCTGAAGAAAGTGAAAAAGAGCACAAAGAACAAGCTGGCCTCCCGACAGAGTTTCTGGGCTGAGCTGAACGCCGCACATCTCCATCATAAGAACGTCGTGCGCATCATCGCCGCAAGCACGTGCGTGCTGGCGGACTTGGAGGAGGAAGCGATCGGAGCGATCGTCATGGAGTTTGTGGGCAGCAGAAATCTGCAGCAGATCATTTATGAGAGCTCGGAGGATCTCGGGGAGGACCGGTGGCTGAAGTACTCCACAGACATCGTGAAGGGCTTGAGCTTCCTTCATTCCCACAGTGTTGTGCATCTGGACATCAAACCAGCCAACGTGCTGGTGTCACGGGGAGAAGTGTGTAAAATTGCCGATTTTGGTTGTTCCCTGAAGCTGGACCGTGACTGTGAAGTGAGCGCCGTCAGCCCCCAGGTCAGCCACGGATGTGGCACGTATTCACACCGAGCCCCGGAGCTGCTCAAAGGCGAGCAGGTGTCTCCTAAAGCGGACATCTATTCGTTGGGGATAACCATGTGGCAGCTTTTGACCAGAGAGCCCCCCTACACGGGTGACAGGCAACACGTCCTCTATGCTGTTGTGGCTCACAATCTGCGGCCGTCTGTATGTGACCACCAGGTGTTTCTTTCTGTGCTGGGGAAGCGGTGTGCGGAGTTGCTGGGCCGCTGCTGGAGCGCTGATGTCCGCTGCAGACCCAGTGCTGAGGATGTGCTGCATCAGCTTGAGCTCCTACGGTCACCTAGGTGATTTTGTGTTATTTTATTATTATTATTCGACTTTTGGAGAATTTCAGTGGAATTTAGATGGTGTTGTGCAGCGAAACCCTGACAAGATCACAGATTTCAGTTTGGACATAATGTGCCTCAAACTTAAACATCCAGAGGAGTTTAAGACTTGAGTTCTGCTTTCTAAGCAGTCAGCAAACTAGCCTTGTTTTACACCTCCAAATGTATTTTTTGTTTGATATCTAAAATTGATTTAAATGTTTTAATTATAATTGTTGTAACCACACACACACACACACATATGTGTATCTTAAGGTGTTTATTTCTGCACCAGATTAATTTATCAGGCCCAATTCGCATACTGTATTTCTCAAGCTGTAAATATATTTTTTAGACAGTGATCAAGAATACGATGGAAGAGGATTAGGGCCACTGACAAAAAAGAATTCTGACTTTAATCTCAGATTAAAGTCAGAATTATAATTTTTTTTCAGTGGCCCTAACTCTCTTCTTGGAATACTGTACTTATTAAGAAACATTTCAGCTCCTACTTAAGTTTTTGGTTTTTAGATGATAATTTGTATGTTAAATTTAATGTAATTATTGTTGATATGAATAAATTCTAGAAATATGTCACTCAGTGCGGCAGCATATTGGAGCTATGTACTTTCATTGATGCTGTATCCATGAGACTTCTAATGATCTTTACTTATTTTACTATGAAATGCTGAAGCGGCTGCCTGATTCTGATGGAGATGCTGCATGGCTCCTGGTGTCATCCTGGACATCCCAGTTCCTTTCAAACCAAACAGCGACTCTGTATCTAAAGCAGATGTAGTGACTGATGAGGCTTATCTGCAGCACCGTTCTATTTTTAGAAATCTAAACTTGCAATGTTCTAACTTGAGACACTCTAAAGGCAGTGTGTAATACAGCTTCCTGTTTCCTGCTTGATTAAATATAAGCATGAAAATACAAATTGATCTCTTCCATGCACTCAGCATCGGAAAATGTCTGAGATGACTACAATAACACAAATGCCTAGATTTGTCATGGCCAAGTATAACTTATTTACAGAGCAACCCAAAATGATTATGGTCTCTGGCAGACAACCTTTGAATGGACCATTAGAACCATGAGTTGAAAGCGTCACCTTCAGTGCTCTGTGGAGCTGCACTCTGGACTATTCACCCTGTTCACTTTATTTTCAGACACAGTGTGCCATTTCCAGCTGCAGCAGGCGCATGTCCTGCTTAAGAAAAAGCACATTTGATGTGTTTGCAACATAAGACACCACATTTCAACACTTTTTCTATTAGATGTATTTTGTAGTGTCTCATAGAAACTAAAATTTAAGTGATCTATAACTAAATATTTGTGTTTTCAGAAAAAGTCTTGGATACAATTTTCACACACCTGATGAAATTGAGCTTAAAGCAACGTTGGGCACATGAAAACCAAAAGAACACCATGCTGCCAGTGAAACATGTTGCAACATTGTGATTTGGGTTTGTTTTTCTTTGGATGGAACTGGAGTTTTAGTCAAGGCTGATAAAATTAACTTTCCCAAATACCAGACAGCTTTGACAAAACATTGTAGCATGCAACAGGAAGCTACAATTACAGTTTTGGTTTATTATAATTGCTAATAAATTACACTTTTTAGTTACTGTCTTTTATTATTCTTTGCCACTTTGTACATTACATGCTTCATACACACATCAGGTTACCAGAACACAGAAGGATCCATTACAACACACTTTACAGGTGAAACTAATTACATTGTGTATTCAATATATTCACATTTTTCAAGAGTACATTGCCAATATACTAAAACAGAATTGTACAAATTGTCAATACATTCAAAGTTTACAGACAACATGCTTATGAAAATTAGCACAATAAAACAATAGGTAAACTTTGGAGGAAATGTGAAAAATATTTCACCAAGGACAGAGTAACGTTTTGATACAATGTCCCAGTATTACTGCAGACAAACTGGCATTTCTCCATCCTAAGAACAGTGAGGATCACCGACAGAACATTTCCATTCACTGGACCACTGCACTTTACAGAAACCTACAAAAAAGAACAATAGAGCAATTAAACAGAGAAAGCATTTGTATTTTAAAGAGCACAGAAAAATGGCAAATAAAAAAGTAAGACTTACAATTTCAAGACGTTGTGGACTCTCTATGTATGTGACATAATCAGAACTGATGATGATTGGGACCAGATGCCTGGGGTGGAAACATTTCTCAGTGACTTCTTTGCCTGTTTATGTTAGAAGTAGAAAAAAATAGTAATGTCATGAATCAGTTGATGTTGGAATCAACTATGAAGCTGTTTTAAGTGTGGACTTAAGGGAGACAAACTACCTTAAAAACTTTCCATCCATGATCTGAACACACTGATCCTTACAGGTTGGTGAGGGGGGCTGGTGCTGCCCATCTCTAGCAGTCATCAGTTGAGAGGCGGAGGTTCACCTGGACAGGTCACCAGTCAATCACAGGAAAGCCAACAACAAATAACATGTATGAAAGATAAATGTTAGATTAACAAGGGGAAAATTCTGTCCAGTTATTTTTAAATCAAATCATGTTTATTAAGCACTTAGTGTTGGAAACACACCAGTTTTTGCTGTTGTTAAAAATGCATTTGAAGCAAACTTGCCACCAGTTAAGTTTGCTTCACGTTAGCAGCCTTTGTCCCTTCTGTTCCTCGTCCTGTTGTGTTGTTGTCTAACTCGGACTAGGACATTACCAGTTTGAATTTACCAAAACTACTAACTATTATCATGGCTCTCTCTACTTTTAATTCAATATTATGCAAGAAAAATTGTGAATTTGAACAGCATTTCTTCTCCTCCCCAGCTTCATGCCTGTTCTTCTTTTTATGGTGCTTTAAAAGAAAACTGAAGATGTGCAATACCGCCACCAACTGGTCTGGAGTGTGAACTGGAGCTAATGACGTTCACTAATAGATCTTACGTCATACATCTGAAAATGGATTTCTGTTTCACTTAAAAAACTGAAAGCAACAGATCACATTCGGAAAGAAGTAAAACTGAAGATACCTGCTACATTTAGTGTTAAGGACAAGTATTGTTGTTGAACCGCTGTCACTAAACTGTCAATGTTTGATGTTTTTTTGTTTTTTCATGAAGACATTTACTTTGTTGAACATTACATCAAGTTTCATTATAAAGATTGTTAATTTGTTTTATTCTTTGCCATTTTAACAAAACAGTAAAAGATTATTAAGGCTCTTTAAAACACATACTTTATTAGCCTAAAGTATACACTCGGATGTAATTTAAAACATACTGAAATTTCAGTTTATTTAATAGTTCACTTTTAAAGTAAACTTTAAGTGAATTTAAAAAAAATTCTAATTTGAGCATATATTTTAAAATATGCACATTATATCTTTAAAAATATACTGTTTCATTGGTATACTTAAGCAAATACATATTTTGTTCACTTAAAGTATACTTTTATTTAATATATTTCTTAAAAGTGTATTTTGGTACAATTATAATTAAGTGTGTTTAAAGTTATGTCAAAATTGGGACAAGCATACTCTGAGTATACTTTGTATATATTTATAAGTAGTACACTTAATACTTAGTATACTTAATACGTACTTACGCAAATGTAAGTATGTTTGAAATATACTAAAGTATACTTTTTTTCACCTGTATTTATTTTGCAATTATTAATATGTGATTGCTGTGGTAAATTATAGTTACCACTGGTATTAGCTAAGCTAACAGCAATTTATTTCTTCTGCATTCTTTACATATACAAACTGTAGCCCAAAACACACACATTTCATTAAAAAACAAAACAAAACAATGTCATTGCAGTCTTACCTTTACTTATAAATGAAGTCCAGGCACCGCCCATTCTGCACAAAATGTCAGTTCATCCAAAGCCAAGTGTATCCTCGACACAAGTTGAGAAAAGATGAAAAGGGTAGCAGAAAAGGCAATTTCTAGGATGACATTCACAAAGCACGTCTTTTCTTGTACTTCATTTGAAAAAAACAATATCCTTTTGTCTCGTAGTTTGAAGCAAACCTTTCAGCTCTGGTGTTGGTCTTCCTTTATTTATTATTTCCTGCTTCGATTGAAAATCCACTTTAGAAAACTGTTTAAGTGTGGAAATATAGTGATCCATGTTGACATCGGAAGAGAAGAGAAAACAAATCTATCGCTGCACTTGACTTATTTACTGTATGGCTAGCTCACTGTCTCTTACTCTGGAGATGTGGAGTCACAACACCAATGTCTGGGATCATGAGCGCCCCCTGCCATGAGGCAAGGAAACTGGTCTTTGCTGTTTCTGTTCGCTCCTCAGCACACGAAACACATCACACACAGTCAGTGACAAAAAGCACTGTACATTATATNTGATTCTTTACAGCGGACAGCCGCTCCTCTCTTGCAGGTACTGCGTACCTCCTCTAAATCTTTTAGGGGTACGCAGTACCCTACCGTACCTCACTTCTGGTGATAATATTTATAGACAAGTAAGAAATTGTACAGAAAGGAATCACAACCCACTGTTCTGAACGTGTAGTGCTTAATTTGAAACTGCCGCAGTAATACCTCGTTCCCCCATCCCCTCTTTGAGCTGATCCAGAGCTCAAAGAGGGGATGGGGGAAGGAGGAGGGATGAAGGAGGGAGTGAAAAGTGGGGAAGGTTTGGGGGGAGAGATGAAGAGGAGGTGAGGAGGGGTGCAACAATTCAGCACACATGATTTTAATTGATGACTGATTGACAGGGTTTTGCTGAATTGAAAACATACAGGTCACCTTGCCTTGAGGACCAGTGTTGAAAAGCACTGGATTATTACATTGGCATTTCAATTTATAGAGTTCGACCAGAAAAAATGAATGGGAAATGTTGGGGTGAGAACAGAGAAAAGGGAGTAAAGAGGGGAAGGTCGGGTGTGCTGGGGAATAGGTGGGCAGGAGAAGGGGTAGTTGGGGAGGAGTGGGGTAGGACAGCAAAACTTTGATTCAAAATTGATAAGCAGTTTTTCCCAACCCTGGCTCTTAAGTCAAACTGACCGGCATGTTTTCAGTTCAGCAAAACCCTGTTAATCAGCCATCAATTAAAATCATGTGTCCCTAATTATGGAAATGCCTAAAACTTGCAAGGCAGTGTGCCCTGAGGACCAGTGTTGGGAAAAACACTGGATTCGATGTTGGTGTTTCAATTATTAAAATTCGACCAGAAAACAACATTGATTCAATGACATCTTTTCAACATTAGTTAATTGGCTAGAATTGGATGACTGTTTGAAGGTTTATCCACCATCAATCATCGATCTTAACCATAAATTCAGCTTTTGTGATGATAATTCAACATTGAATTAACATCTTTTGCAAACAAGCCAACAGCGAAGTGGCTGTGTGGTTAGGCCATCCCACTCATGTAAATATGGGGGTGGGCCGCTCCACTCCTTTTAGTATGTTGTAGATATTTTTGTGTCAATTTATCACACACAAATGGTCAGTAAGAATTTTTATAGACAAATAACAAAATGTACAGAAAGGAATCACAACCCACTATCCTCAACAGTGCTTATTTGAAAACGTGATTAGCACCGCTCAATAATAAAATGCCCTCACCCAGAGCTCTGCTGAGGAGGAGAGGAGAAGAGGTGTGGCAAAACAGCTGACATTGATTCAGCATTGATCAGACATCAGCATTTCATTCATTAGATTTCAACCACAACATTGAATCAATGACACAGTTTCAACATTGGTTACTTGGCTAGAATTGGATGGTTGTTTGATGGTTGATCCACTGTCATTCGTCAACCTCAAACTGAAATCAACCTTTCTGACTATAATTCAATGTTGAATTACCTTCATGTGGTATCTGGATCCAGAGATTGGAAACATTATATTTTTAGATTTCTGCAATGTATGAGCTAATGTTTATGCAAATTTGAGCATAATTACTCAACATTTTATGTGTCACTGTTTACATCCATATTGTTTATTTTGTATTAATAAACATGGTTATTTTATTTGAAAAGTTACATAAAAAAAAAACAATGCCACCCCGAGCACCATCCCCTGCTAATTACTGTAGAGCTGGGCTGAGTTGTTTGAAATTGCTTTAGATATATTTGATAATTCGCATGACTGCATTTTTATTTTAAGTATTTATTTTAGAGGTATTTACCCTAACCAGCATGCATTGCCTCCAGGGCATGATTAATTGGATAAGGTGACGTCAGCTCAGTTGAACACACCCGTGTGAGATCAGGCGCCATGCCTTCTCCTATTCCCGTCACGCGCCTGTTACGGAAAGACATCTACCCGTCTGCAGACATCGCGACTTGTAGCAGCCCGCTCTTTCAGCTGTCCCAAGGGTCCACCTTGCAGGTCCCTCCCCAGCGGTTACATGGTAAAGTCGCAAGCCGCCTCTGGTCCTCCGTGATTTACTGGGATCAGCTGCGCTCCGTGGAAGTTGTGGGCTCCGGGGGTTTCGGTTCCGTGTATAAGGCGGAGTACCTCGGGGAAACTGTTGCGCTGAAGAAAGTGAAAAAGAGCACAAAGAACAAGCTGGCCTCCCGACAGAGTTTCTGGGCTGAGCTGAACGCCGCACATCTCCATCATAAGAACGTCGTGCGCATCATCGCCGCAAGCACGTGCGTGCTGGCGGACTTGGAGGAGGAAGCGATCGGAGCGATCGTCATGGAGTTTGTGGGCAGCAGAAATCTGCAGCAGATCATTTATGAGAGCTCGGAGGATCTCGGGGAGGACCGGTGGCTGAAGTACTCCACAGACATCGTGAAGGGCTTGAGCTTCCTTCATTCCCACAGTGTTGTGCATCTGGACATCAAACCAGCCAACGTGCTGGTGTCACGGGGAGAAGTGTGTAAAATTGCCGATTTTGGTTGTTCCCTGAAGCTGGACCGTGACTGTGAAGTGAGCGCCGTCAGCCCCCAGGTCAGCCACGGATGTGGCACGTATTCACACCGAGCCCCGGAGCTGCTCAAAGGCGAGCAGGTGTCTCCTAAAGCGGACATCTATTCGTTGGGGATAACCATGTGGCAGCTTTTGACCAGAGAGCCCCCCTACACGGGTGACAGGCAACACGTCCTCTATGCTGTTGTGGCTCACAATCTGCGGCCGTCTGTATGTGACCACCAGGTGTTTCTTTCTGTGCTGGGGAAGCGGTGTGCGGAGTTGCTGGGCCGCTGCTGGAGCGCTGATGTCCGCTGCAGACCCAGTGCTGAGGATGTGCTGCATCAGCTTGAGCTCCTACGGTCACCTAGGTGATTTTGTGTTATTTTATTATTATTATTCGACTTTTGGAGAATTTCAGTGGAATTTAGATGGTGTTGTGCAGCGAAACCCTGACAAGATCACAGATTTCAGTTTGGACATAATGTGCCTCAAACTTAAACATCCAGAGGAGTTTAAGACTTGAGTTCTGCTTTCTAAGCAGTCAGCAAACTAGCCTTGTTTTACACCTCCAAATGTATTTTTTGTTTGATATCTAAAATTGATTTAAATGTTTTAATTATAATTGTTGTAACCACACACACACACACACATATGTGTATCTTAAGGTGTTTATTTCTGCACCAGATTAATTTATCAGGCCCAATTCGCATACTGTATTTCTCAAGCTGTAAATATATTTTTTAGACAGTGATCAAGAATACGATGGAAGAGGATTAGGGCCACTGACAAAAAAGAATTCTGACTTTAATCTCAGATTAAAGTCAGAATTATAATTTTTTTTCAGTGGCCCTAATCCTCTTCTTGGAATACTGTACTTATTAAGAAACATTTCAGCTCCTACTTAAGTTTTTGGTTTTTAGATGATAATTTGTATGTTAAATTTAATGTAATTATTGTTGATATGAATAAATTCTAGAAATATGTCACTCAGTGCGGCAGCATATTGGAGCTATGTACTTTCATTGATGCTGTATCCATGAGACTTCTAATGATCTTTACTTATTTTACTATGAAATGCTGAAGCGGCTGCCTGATTCTGATGGAGATGCTGCATGGCTCCTGGTGTCATCCTGGACATCCCAGTTCCTTTCAAACCAAACAGCGACTCTGTATCTAAAGCAGATGTAGTGACTGATGAGGCTTATCTGCAGCACCGTTCTATTTTTAGAAATCTAAACTTGCAATGTTCTAACTTGAGACACTCTAAAGGCAGTGTGTAATACAGCTTCCTGTTTCCTGCTTGATTAAATATAAGCATGAAAATACAAATTGATCTCTTCCATGCACTCAGCATCGGAAAATGTCTGAGATGACTACAATAACACAAATGCCTAGATTTGTCATGGCCAAGTATAACTTATTTACAGAGCAACCCAAAATGATTATGGTCTCTGGCAGACAACCTTTGAATGGACCATTAGAACCATGAGTTGAAAGCGTCACCTTCAGTGCTCTGTGGAGCTGCACTCTGGACTATTCACCCTGTTCACTTTATTTTCAGACACAGTGTGCCATTTCCAGCTGCAGCAGGCGCATGTCCTGCTTAAGAAAAAGCACATTTGATGTGTTTGCAACATAAGACACCACATTTCAACACTTTTTCTATTAGATGTATTTTGTAGTGTCTCATAGAAACTAAAATTTAAGTGATCTATAACTAAATATTTGTGTTTTCAGAAAAAGTCTTGGATACAATTTTCACACACCTGATGAAATTGAGCTTAAAGCAACGTTGGGCACATGAAAACCAAAAGAACACCATGCTGCCAGTGAAACATGTTGCAACATTGTGATTTGGGTTTGTTTTTCTTTGGATGGAACTGGAGTTTTAGTCAAGGCTGATAAAATTAACTTTCCCAAATACCAGACAGCTTTGACAAAACATTGTAGCATGCAACAGGAAGCTACAATTACAGTTTTGGTTTATTATAATTGCTAATAAATTACACTTTTTAGTTACTGTCTTTTATTATTCTTTGCCACTTTGTACATTACATGCTTCATACACACATCAGGTTACCAGAACACAGAAGGATCCATTACAACACACTTTACAGGTGAAACTAATTACATTGTGTATTCAATATATTCACATTTTTCAAGAGTACATTGCCAATATACTAAAACAGAATTGTACAAATTGTCAATACATTCAAAGTTTACAGACAACATGCTTATGAAAATTAGCACAATAAAACAATAGGTAAACTTTGGAGGAAATGTGAAAAATATTTCACCAAGGACAGAGTAACGTTTTGATACAATGTCCCAGTATTACTGCAGACAAACTGGCATTTCTCCATCCTAAGAACAGTGAGGATCACCGACAGAACATTTCCATTCACTGGACCACTGCACTTTACAGAAACCTACAAAAAAGAACAATAGAGCAATTAAACAGAGAAAGCATTTGTATTTTAAAGAGCACAGAAAAATGGCAAATAAAAAAGTAAGACTTACAATTTCAAGACGTTGTGGACTCTCTATGTATGTGACATAATCAGAACTGATGATGATTGGGACCAGATGCCTGGGGTGGAAACATTTCTCAGTGACTTCTTTGCCTGTTTATGTTAGAAGTAGAAAAAAATAATCAGCAATGTCATAGAATCAGTTGATGTTGGCATTAACTATGAAGTTGTTTTACGTGTGGACTTAAGGAGACAAACTACCTTAAAATCTTTCCATCCATGATCTGAACAGGCTGATCCCTGCAGGGTGGTGAGGGGGGCTGGTGGTGCCCATCTCTAGCAGTCATCAGTTGAGAGGCGGAGGTTCACCTGGACAGGTCACCAGTCAATCACAGGAAAGCCAACAACAAATAACATGTATGAAAGATAAATGTTAGATTAACAAGGGGAAAATTCTGTCCAGTTATTTTTAAATCAAATCATGTTTATTAAGCATTTAGTGTTGGTAACACAACAGTTTTTGCTGTTGAAAATGTAGCTAGCTGGTCAGTAAAAAAAAAAAAATCCTTCCACCAGGAAGACAATGTGGAGGTTCATCCTCAGAGCTGGTTGTTGATCTGGTGGAGCCACAGCTTCTTCTGAGACAGAAAAGTCTTTAGGTTTTCTAACACCTGATCTCTCTGGCTTCCTGTTTCATCTTCATTTGATTAGACTGCAAAAATATGTTGAAGATAAAAACATTGATGAACAAATTATAACAACAACCTCACAATATCAAAGTCATACGGAGCTTAATTAAAACCAGGTTAAGTTTATGAAGAAAACTAAGTCGCAACAAACAAAGCCTTTATACAGTTATAACATGAATTTTATTTTATCAGTAAAATTGATAAAATAATTTCTGAAACCAACATAAGTTTGTTCGTATCTTTACTGCACTGTTCATAAGTAAATGAAGATAATTAGCATTTTGAAGCAAACTTACCACCAGCTAGCAACACGTTAGCAGCCTTAGTCACTTCCGTTCCTTTTGTGACACACATTTAATTTCCATCCTGTTGTTGTCCTGTTGTGTTGTCGTCTAACTCGGACTAGGACGTAGCTTGAATTTATCAAAACTACTAACTATTATCAAGGCCCTCTCTTTGTATGAGGCAATATTCTGTGAGTAAAAATTGCGAATTTGAACAGTGTCTGTTATCTTCTCTGCCGCATGGCTTCTTCTTTTCTTTTTATGGCGCTTTAAAAAAACAAAAAAACAAAGTGTGCAATTCCGCCACCATCTGGTCGGGAGTGTGAACTGGAGCTAATGCTGTTCACTAACAGATCTTGTATCACATCTGAAAATAGATTCGGTTGTAGAGCCTCTGTCACTAAACTGTCAATCTTTGATATGTTTGATTGGCATGAATACATTACTTTGTTAAACAACATTACATCAAGTTTGACTATTAGGATTTTTTTTAATTCTTTGCCATTTTAACAAAAATAGTAAATTATTAAGGCACCTAAAATTGCATACTTTATTAGCCCCTAAAGTATATACTGAGATGTAATTTAAAACATACTGAAATTAATAATTTAAAGAAGTGTTAAGTGAATTTTAAAAAATTCTATTTTGAACATATATTTTAAACAATACACAAATTATCTTTAAAATATATTTTAAACATATTTAAAACATCTTAAGTAAACATTTAAGCAAGTGTATATTTGCACTTGGGCAAATACATATTTTGCTAACTTAAAGTATACTTTTATTTAATATATTTCTTAAAAGTGTATTTTGGTACAATTATATTTAAGTATGTTTAAAGTTATAATGTCAAAATTGGTACAGGTATACTTTTATTATACTTTTGTAGCAGGAAGAAGCCTGTCCCAATATTCAAAACACCTGGCCCCTAGTCACCCCATGGTGGGTGGAGAGTATAAAGGGAGACTCTCTCACCTGGTTGCTTTATGCTGGCATTTGGTCACACACTGTTGGGAAGGTTGCTTGTGTAGCGTGCAGGTCTAAAAATCTAACATCAGTAAGTAATGTTTCTCCTTCTGCATAAGACCTACAATTTCAGTGTTTGACTTGAATTGTTTACATCTAGAAACCACTGGTTCTGGGGTGTGGCTGCAATTCACCCTCCCCAGTGCAGTTTTAACGTAAAATGGGTATGTATTGTTTTATTGCACCCATACAGCTCCATAACACAAAAATGACAGTTATTTATATATAGAACATATTGGCAAGCTGATCCTCCCGCTGTGGGCCGGAAAGGATTCTCTGGTTGGGGTGGAGGCATCCAGCTCTGGTAGGTGACGATGGTTTCCTCTGCCTTCCACCATCTTCTGTAAATCACCTACTAAATTTTTGATTTAATTCCAGCTCTGACACTGCTGCAGCTCGCTGGAGACCCTGCTACTTTGTTTCACTGCTTGGTTTAATTTTTTTGTTTAAGTTTATCTTGTTTCATCGGTTGACTTTGTTTCATTTTTGTAACTGCTTTGTTTAATTTATTTTGTCTCGTTTGGCTTCTTAGATTTGGGGGTTTTTTTGGTTTAAATTTGTTACTTTGGAACATTCTATTGTGTGGCCTCCAGCCTTGGGTTCTTTTAGATTATTCTATTAAAGTATTGATGTTTTTAATTGGTTATGTTGGAGTTGACCTCATTTTAGTCTTTGGCCAAGTTTAAATTGTAGTATTTTTTTTTTTTTTTTTTGTATTTGCTTGTTTAACCTCACCCTTTTGTCTCCAGGCTGAGAGCTGAAGGTAGTGGGAGGGGCCTACAGGGAGACGGGACCTGTGTTGTGCGAGTGACCGGTGTTGGGATTTCTTCACGATTGAATGCCTGTTCACAAGTGTTTGGGGTGATTTATTTTGGATTTATTCAATTATTTTAGGAACCGGTTCCCATTTGGACCGTCCTCCCCTGCTGGTAGGCCTCAGTACTGTGCATTTCCCTTCCTATTGTGGATCCTTATGTTTGTCTTTTTTTTTTTTTAAAAAAAACAAACATGAAACGATAAAATGTAATTAACTTTTGGAAAAGTCTTGTAATCTTTGGTCACAAACCTCAAGTGCCAACTGGCAATCTATTTCCTTGGATGCAATTCCCAAGGTGGCGTTGACGACTTCTGGTTACCCTGCTGTGAAGCGCAGAGTATCAGATTCATACCCTAGTGTCGCTACATTTAATACTTGGTATACTTAAAATGTACTTGCACAAATGTAAATATTTGAAATATACTAAAGTACTTTTTTTTCACAAGGGTAACTTTAATTAAAAAGGTTTTCTCCATATTAAAGCTGTCACCATGTTGTGCCAGTTTCTTATGAGACGATCTGTGAAAAGATCACCTCCTCCCTGAACTACTATTACAGTAATGCAACGTTCTGACCAAAAACAACCAATCAAAACCAAGTGGACGCTATTAGTGCTGTCAATCAACCTCATTCATTCACTGCTAATGGTGGAGAAACATTTTCATTACAGTAAAAATGTTTATCTGCTGTCATTGGTAGCTATGCTAACTGGACTGAGCATTCACAACGGGCTGCACTAGCTACAGTATAGCGCAGAGGGAGGATGAGATTGTGATTGACTGTGCTAAATCTCTCCTGCCACTGATTGATTCTCACTGAGAGAAAGCAGATGAAATTTTTTCACAGATTATCTCTCATGCCATACTGTCAGAACATAATGACAATTTTAACAAATATGTAAATTTTTTTATAAAGTTATACTGCAGCTTTAATTTCACTTGGGAGAGGACGGGTCAGGAGGGATGTGGGTTAGAGTTGCTGCTGACTGACTCATCTGTTAAGTGGCAAAAGGTACAAGGGACAAGTTGAATATATGGTAAATGAACTGAACTTGTATATCCCTTTTCCAATCATTTTAGCCACTCAAAGCGCTTTACACTAGTCACATTCACCCATTCGCACTTACAAACGCTCACACGTTTATACACCAATACGCAGATCGGTAGGCATATAGGCGTATATGAATGTTGGTAATTTCTTTAATTCATTAAATGCTAGTGAAATGGAGGCAAACAGTCTGTAGCTAAGCTAATTATGCTGAGTGGTTGATAATCTCACACAGTCTACCCACCTCTCTCAGTGAAAAACTGGGTTACAAATTCACACTCTTACCTTTTTCTCTCTCCCTCTGTCTACTTTTTTTTTTTGAAAACCTGATTTTCTTTTTTTTTTTTTAGTAGCATAGTAACTGCCACAGTGGTTCTTCTACTGTCTGCTGCTGAACAGCGTCACCGTCGAGCACTAAGCAGGAACGAACATTTCATGCAGATCCAGGGGGGTTCAGGGCAAATATGTGCTTTTTGGTCTGGGAGTGGAAACATTTAATTTCTACTGCTAAAAACAATTTTAGAAAGCACAATATAATTAATTTTGTAATCGACAGGGCCCCATTTATTTTTATGTCTATGAACAGAAAAAAATAAATTGTGGAGGGCCCCATGTTGGTCAGGGGCCCTTAGAATTGTTATAAATTTCCCCCCCTATACAGCGCCCCTGCACCAGTCACTTTCTAAAATGCCATTAATATCATACCTGGTTGTTTAATTGCTATTGAAATAGGCAACGGAATATTGTACTTTAGTTTCCTAAAGAACTGATGTGGGAGTACTTTCTATATTATGTGAGTTCTTAGCAGTATTATCTCAGGCAACGTCCCCTCCAGGAAGCGACCACTGCTACACAGATCGTCAGATCAGAAGTTAGCTTTTTGTTGTGATCTGTGTGTTCTGTGTATTTATTTTGAGGTTTTCTGTGTTTATTTAGTCCCGTTTCCCTGTTGATCGTTCCCAGCTGTGTCTAGTTCCCTGATTACCCTCCCTGTGTATTTAAGTCCACCTGTTGTCTTTGTTCCTTGTCGGGTCCTTGTCTTATGTCACGTCGTTCGTCTGCTGCCAGTTCCTGTGTTCTCATCATTAAATGCCTTCTAAATGTCAGCCTGGGCCTGCAAGCGTCTTACTCACCAACAACAACCACCACACATAACACTTCTGTGGAGAGAAAAAATAAGCATACATTTATCAGCTGAAATAACATCAAATGATAATAAAACAATAATAATAATAGTACTGTTTATAAAGTCAATTCAAACAGTTCAAACTAATTACAAGGAGATAAAAATATAAATAAAATAAAGTTTAAAAACAGTTGTGGCACAGTTGGTAGCACTATTACCTTGCAGCAAGAAAGTCCTGGGTTCGAGTCCCAGTCTGGGGTCTTTCTGAATGGAGTTTACATGTTCTCCCTGTGCATGTGTTTCTTCTCTTCAGGAACTTTACCTTCCTCCCATAGTTCAAAAACACGACTGTTAGGTGAACTGTGTTCTCTAAATCAGGGATGGAGTCAAGACCAGTTCTTCTGAAACCAAGACTGAGGCAGAAATGTTGACAAATATTTTAGGACATTGGTACACCACAAAGTGCAAAAATAAATGGAAAAACAGTCAGTTACTCAATCAACACTACCTCTATCCCTTATCTTTACACCCTCAGCCCTGGTGGGATCACAAGGGCTGCTGGTGCCCATCTCCAAAGGTCATTGGGTGAAAGGCGGGGTCACCCTGGAGAGAGGTCACCTGTCCATTGCAGGGCAACACAGAAACGGACAGGACAAACTCACACTTAAGGAGTATTTAAAAAGACTAATTAACTTGACAGTCATGTTTTTGGACTGTGGGAGGAAGCTGGAGTACCTGGAGAGAACCCACCATGCACAGGGAGAACATGCAAACTCCATGCAGAAAGACTCTGGGCCAGGAATCGAACTTCTTGGTAAAAAAAACTAATAAAGGTCATAATAAATTAAAATTTCAGTTATTAAATGCAGCCACACATTTATATACATTCTCTAAACTGAATCAATCAGCTTAAGTTACACAATAGTTGTATGATAACTTTAAAAAACAGAGAGATTTGTCATAAATAGATTATATATTAAAAATATACCATCCATTTTCTGTACACCCTTGTCCCGAGTGGGGTCAGGAGCGGTGCTGGTGCCTATCTCCAGTGAATGTTTCAGGTGAGAGGTGGGGTCACCCTGAACAGGTCACCAGTCTATCACAGGGCTAAAAATATACATATATCTATATTAAAAATATGTATATTTTTATATGATCATTTATCCAAGAAAAAAGCTGTGAAGTTAGCAGAGGGAAGAAAAATGGTCATTTTGTTCTCCAACAGCCTAAGCATATGGCAGTATAACCACAGAGATAGCTCATTCTGAATAAACCTACTCCATTCTGTGATACTCAGGGATTTTTTTTCAGAACAGGAAATGTCAACTATGTAACTCAATTCTGAGTTCAATAGCTCCTGAGTTAAGAAAAAGAAGCCCTCATCAATGGATCAAAGATAACACGATTCACCATGGCAATGGAAAAAAAAGGCACCATGGCAATGAAAACTAAAAAGTAAGACAAATGAAAATAGAGCTATTAATAGCCACATAAGGAGAATGTCAAAACATATCTAACAACAAATAAAGGAATACTACTGCTGCTAAATCTAGAGT